TGGGATGTCATTAGGATCAGCGCTTTCGGCAATAACATGCAGTTCCCTTATTGCAGATATTCTAATTGTAGAACTAAGACCAGCGGACTTTATTCAGATAACAGTTTTTGAATATCAACAGCTGTACAATCTCAATTGGCTCTGGAAACGTAGTTGACAAGGTTTCTGAAGCGCAAAAATGGTTGTTTCTGTGAAAAATGATTCTATACATTTGTATTTATTTTATTAAATAGAAATATATGTATATATAATTCATTATATTCATAATACATATTTATTATGTATGTTTTGGGGCTGTACTCCGGATGAGAAGGATAGCTAACCAATAGGACTGACCCTGAAATTATGCTGTGTGAGGATTAATTAGTTGTATCAAGAAAAGAGATGAATACATTGTTTTTACGGCTGGCCCAGTTAATTCCCATTGGTTACCTTTCAGTGGCCTAATGGCACATCCTAAGGGATGGTTCAAGCGCTTCTCACACTCAGGCAGCTTTTGTGTGCTCAGGAAACATCTGCTCTCTCCTTGATTTCTCCTTTGCTCTCGGATTTATTTGTACAACAACCATGTTAAAACAAATGTTGACCAACGAAATGATCTCTGCTTTGTTTGCCGGGTGAGTTTACTTATACTTACTTGTGTGTCCCCAATATGTCTGCAATATAGCGAACGGCCTCTTAACAGGAATACGACTGACAATCACTAACTTTATATTCCAAAGCACCCAGACCTTCACCCACTCAAAGAAACGTAGCCGTGTGCTACAGAGTTTAGTGTTAGATAAGCATCAAGTAGCTCAACTGAAGAACTGAAGAAAAACTAACTCCGAAGGAAATCCAAGAGCAGAGTGTAAATCCACACAAAAGCAGAGACCAGGGCTGACACTCGAGTGCGGGAAATCTGTGCAACTGCTAATATATCTGAGTGCAAGCATACTGCTTGAGACAAAAAAATAAATCAGATCCAATGCGCAAGTAGGGACTTTTATAACTAGAGTAAAAACAGGACTTTTCAGAGAAAGCAATACAAAAAAATAAATCAGATCCAATGCGCAAGTAGGGACTTTTATAACTAGAGTAAAAACAGGACTTTTCAGAAGTGAAACCAATGGGTGATACTCTCAAATTGAAAGAACACGCACTAAAGATACAGCAATTGCTATAAAATGGCACACGTATACCTGTTAAATACAAAAATATGGATGTTCTGGTCAATGTGTTATCATGTAATGCTAATGATATTTTCTACTAGAAGATTGTCCTCATTACCATATGAAGATGTATATGGATCACGTGAATTAACATGTTTTGATATTACATGTTGAAGATATATCCTTTTTGCAGTATAGACACATTAAGATTTGTTTATATTTAGAATCAGTGTGAATTATTTCCACTTCGTAAATCAGAAGTGAATTCATAAATGTTGCAGATCAAAAGTCTACTTTGCCCTAATCTGGGTCATGCTTTTCTGTTCTCCACCAGATATTTGGCACTTCATAATCTGTTAGGACAAATTCCTTCACTGTGGTAATTAAATCCAATTGTGTTGCTTTCATGAGGATGCATTGTTTTGCTTTTTAAATCAACCTAACCTACGTTAGGTCTCTTAACGAGAATGCGCAAGGCAGAGTTAAAAAAGATATCTGAACACAATAAGCCCTGGTGAAGTTCTTCTCCACATTTGGACTCCCGAAAGTGATCCAAACTGACCAAGGTACTAACTTCATGTCCAAATTGTTCGCTGCTACAATGAAGAATCTGTCTATCACACATCAGGTCTCCAGCGCGTACCATCCAGAGAGCCAGGGGGCTCTAGAGCACTGGCACCAGACCTTGAAGACGATGCTGAAGAAATACTGTGTAGAGACAAATACTAGTTGGGACGAGGGAGTCCCCTTTGTTCTGTTCGCTGTCAGAGAAACTATCCAGGAACCATTAGGATTCAGTCCTGCTGTTTTTCCCCCAGGCGTCTCCTCTCCCGCATCGCCGGTGGACAGTGTAGAGCGTAAAGAGGCTCCAGCTCCTTGGACGCTGCCAAAGTTTCTTCCGTTTTCCCCAGTGGCAGGTGGATCTGAGGTAGGGGAGGTAGACAGGCTGCGTAAACAAATGGCACATCTTCAGGCAGAACTGAAAGACAGAGAGGAGAGAAAAAGATATGATTTTGAGTTGGAACTCCAAAAAATAGAAGCAGACAAGGAGGTCAGAATTAAAATTAGACAGATGGAGCTCGAGGCAGGTGTAGGGGTCTCACCCTCGGGTCCACGTGAGCCGCCTCCATTTAAGGTGAGCCAAAACGTTTCTATGGTTCCACCGTTTAGGAAGACCGAAGTAGACCGCTACTTTCCCTGGAAGACAGTTTGCAGTATGATGTGGTTAAAGCAACGGTGCTTAGAGCCTACGAGCTAGTACCTGAGGCCTACAGGCAACGCTTCAGGTCTCATAAGAAAGTGGGGAGTCGTACATTTGTGGAGTTTGGTAGGGACAAGGAGTCTCTATTTGAGCGCTGGTGTGCAGCGAGCAAGGTAACAACTTTGTTGGATCTGAAAGAGCTCGTTTTATTAGAAGAATTCAAGAACCACTTATCTGAGCACCTAGTGGTGTACTTGAATGAGCGGAAGGTAGAGACGTTGACCCAGGCCGCTGACTGAAGACTTACAGAAAAAAGAGAGTGTTTTTACTGTCATGAAGTGGGCCATTTGATTTCAGATTGTGCGGTTCTGAAAGCAAAGACCTCTCAGTCACCACCCCGCAACAAGAAAAGTGTCAACGGTCCCCTCCCTTCTAGGGAGCTGGTGCGTAATAAATCATCAATCATCTATTCTGCTGCCATAATTTGGATTGCTGATTTTTTATTGGAGTCTTTTTGAAGTTTAATTTATTGACGAGGAGGATGAGTAGATAGTGGGATGAGGTATACGGATTCCTTATCGGGAGGATAATTATTCACAGATCTGTGCTGTGCATCGCATTTTGTAGTTGGTCTTATTATTGATGGAATGTCCCCTTGAAAAAGCTTTGGATTTGACAGAATAATAGCTGCGTATGGTTTAACTTTTATTATAATTCACTTCTGAGGGTCAATTGTTTAGTGCCAGGTTTTCATTTCTTACTAATTTAAGCTGCAATAAAGAAATGTAATCTGTCTGATCCCTGTCAAATTTGCCTGGACCCCAGCATGGGAACACATGCTTTCTCCGCCCTCGGGCTATTGCTACTTGGAATTAAAATGTTGTAATAGAAGAATAAATGGAGTAAGTAATCAAGCAATTAATCAGTAGTTACAGTAATAGCCTGCTCGTGAAGTTAAGAGCTGTCTGTTGCAGATTAGGCTGCGCGTTAAACATACTGCATAGAAACAACAGCTGCGCATGTATTTAATGTGTTTGACTCTGACACTGTTTAGAAATCAACCATAATAGTAATGCTTTTACACATTCGTGTGTGTGTGAGAGAGTGTGTTTTTTATCTACTAAACTGTCTCTTTTATTCATCAAATATATGGCAGAAGAACCCTTGTCTCTTAGGACTCACATAGTTACTTTGTTTTTAGATTAGAACTTATTTGTGTGACAATCAAAAATATTTAAAGGTGCCATTTGCACCTCCAAAACACATTATACTTTAAGTTCACTGCAGGTTGCACATACGGCTTTCTGTATGAAGTTTACATTATTTCTTCAAGTTCATTTTGTTAACGTGATCCAGTTTCCTCTCGCGCTTAAAAGCATTCAGGTAGAGGCGCTATAAAAATGTCTCTTTATCTGTGCTTACTCTGTGACTCACTTCCGACCTGCCTTCCATGTTTTTCACTTAGAAGAGTGAAAGAAATATTTGTATGGCAACAATTAAAAATATTGTTGGAATGAATTTTTTCAGCTATGCGAAAAGCTAAACCATATTATGATAGCTTCAGTTGGCACATCGCAGCATTCACTGCAAGGATTTTTATTTCTACCAATAAGCTATTATCTGCTTTCTAACATTAAATTTGAGACAATATATATTCACTTCCAATATCATTCAGATAAATCAATTCATGAAGTCAGACATGCTTTCATACCTGAAAACTAAAGGTAATAGAATTAATTCATTTGTTAGTAGTGTGACAAGCTATCTCTTCATGGATCTCCAGCAAAGCTACATTTTGATATTTAATACTTGAACGTTTCTGCAAATTTGCTTTAGAAACCAATTGTTCTTGCCTCTCTCTACGTGAAGCCGTTATGTGCTGGGATTTCCATTCAGTCAATAACACCTTCTCAAGAACTTATAACTACTCGATGCTAGTAATAACTGATTAGACTAAATTGTGTCTTTATGAAGTCCACTATTGTATCACACCATTCTATGAATATGCACTTAAAACTCCCAATCCTAGTGAATCCTGACTTTAAATGAACTGGTATTAGCAAGTAGAACACAGGAGCATAAAATTAATGAATAATGAATGAATAAATTAAATGAGCACCATCATCATCTTCTCTCTTGCGCACAGTAAATCTAACTAAATTTACATTGTTTGTATTACATACATACATAAAGAGTTACACAAACAAATTCCCCAGTACTACTTTCTTCTTTGACATCCCAGTCACATACGTGCCTTTGAGGAACTGAGAGTTGCAATCAGACAAACCCAGATTCCTCAACTCGAAGGATTGGTGGGTGGCAAGCTTCCTTGTTATTTATGTCTCTCGAGTCTCAAATAGAACTGACTCAACACAGCAGTAGTAGCTAGTTTTCTTCCCTTCCCGTCCTCCTCCCACAGAGATGCAGCACAGAAGTCAAGATATTCGTTGTGATTTTATTTCATGTGACTGAGATTGCATGGAGTATGTGTGTGTGTGCCTATGTGATTATGTGACCCTCACATTTAACTTTATGGGATTCCTAATTTGCTTTGCTGAGTAATTCACTGCCAACTATTTGAAGTGACATATGACAGCATAAAAATGATCAATTATCTAATGTATCTCCTTTCTCTCTTTTCATTTCAGCGAGGCCAAATCCTCATTCCAAAGAGTGCAAAACCAGTCAATGAATTATGAATGTTAAACAAGATGACCTCCTCTCAGCAGCAGCAGATGATGCAAGGTCCTAGGTGGAACCGGGCCTTGTCTGACCCTTTTTTTGTGCTGCTTCTGGCCCTCCAGCTGCTGGTGGTGGCAGGGCTGGTACGCGCTCAGACATGCCCCTCTGTCTGCTCCTGTAGTAATCAGTTCAGCAAAGTCATCTGCACCCGGCGAGGCCTGCGAGATGTCCCTGATGGCATCTCTACCAACACCCGATACCTAAATCTGCAAGAAAACCTAATTCAGGTCATAAAGGTGGACAGCTTCAAGCACTTGAGACATCTGGAGATCCTACAACTGAGCAAAAACCACATACGCAAAATTGAGTTGGGCGCCTTTAATGGACTGGCCAGCCTCAATACCTTGGAGCTTTTTGATAACCGCCTCACCACTATCCCCAACGGGGCCTTTGAGTACCTGTCCAAACTAAAGGAGCTTTGGCTGAGGAATAACCCCGTAGAGAGCATCCCCTCCTATGCTTTCAACAGAGTGCCCTCATTACGCCGGTTGGACCTCGGGGAGCTCAAACGTCTCTCCTACATATCTGAGGGTGCCTTTGAAGGGCTGAGCAATCTACGCTACCTAAATCTGGGAATGTGCAATCTGAAGGAAATTCCCAACCTTATCCCCCTAGTGAAGCTGGATGAACTGGAGATGTCAGGGAACCAGCTCGCTGTTATCCAACCTGGCTCTTTTAGGGGGCTCATCTATTTGCAGAAGCTATGGATGATGCATGCCCAGATCCAGACAATAGAAAGGAACTCTTTTGATGACCTGCAGTCACTAGTGGAGCTCAATCTAGCCCATAACAACCTTACTCTTTTGCCCCACGATCTCTTCACTCCTTTACATCATCTAGAGAGGGTACACTTGCACCACAACCCGTGGAATTGTAACTGTGACATCCTCTGGCTCAGCTGGTGGCTGAAGGAGATGGTCCCAGCTAACACCAGCTGCTGTGCCCGTTGCAGCTCACCAACCCACCACAAAGGACGATACATTGGCGAGCTGGACCAGAACCACTTTCACTGTTACGCTCCTGTTATTGTGGAGCCTCCAGCAGATCTAAATGTGACGGAAGGAAGCGCTGCCGAGTTGAAATGCAGAGCCAGCTCTTTGACGTCGGTAAACTGGATTACACCCAATGGTTCCATCATGACACACGGAGATTACAAAATCAGAATATCTGTGCTTACCGATGGCACCCTGAACTTTACCAATGTTACCATGCAAGACACCGGAACGTACACGTGTATGGTCAGTAATTCTGCAGGAAACACAACAGCGTCTGCCACTCTCAATGTGTCCTCTACTGAGAACAGCAGCTTCAGCTACTTCACCACGGTGACGGTGGAGACAATAGAATCACCACACAATGAAGCCTTCACCATTGCTGTGCAGCAGAAGGTGGGCCCCACCCCTCCTGCTGGTACATGGGAGTCTGTTTTGCCAACCTCCACAACAACCACAACAGTCCGGACTCCGCTCTACACCCGCACCACAGAGAAGACCTACACCATCCCAGTCACAGATCGCGATGGTTCACTGAATGGTTTGGATGAGGTCATGAAGACCACCAAGATCATCATCGGCTGCTTTGTTGCAATCACACTCATGGCAGCAGTCATGTTGATCATCTTCTACAAGATGCGTAAACAGCACCACCAGCAGAACCACCACGCACCCACACGCACCATTGAGATCATCAATGTGGATGAGGACTGTGTAACTGGAGGCCAGGGCATGGAAGGGCACCTCACCCTGCCTCCTCTTGAGCATGAGCACCTCAACCACTACAACGCCTACAAGACTGCGTACAATCATGCCTCCACTATCAACTCTATACACAGTCCAGCCCACGAACCTTTGTTAATTCGGGCCAGCTCAAAAGACAACGTACAAGAGACCCAGATCTAATATATTTGTGTTTTTTTCTTCAAAATCAAACACATTGAATGACATGAAGACATTAATGACAGAACATAACAGACAATTTGGTTTTGAGAACTATGGCTAAAAAAAATGGAGCAACAGACTTGTGCATTTGGCAAATTTGTGGCTGGTGATGTTTATTCAATGACTTTGGGAATTAGGGTATGTCTACTGTTTCAAAAAGTGTCTTAACATAACAGAAGTTATTTATTTAACAAAAACCTATTGTGGTTAAATCAAGAAAAACGTTTATTCTGCATTTATTTTTTCAGCACTGATTTTTTTTCCTCATTTCAACAGATTGGTTTACGAGTACTTTCAAACTACTAAAGAAAATCATTGTTCGTTCTGGACAAACTGCAGCCTTTGGATCAGACTTAATTTCGCCCATCTATCAGACAAATCTAGAGCACATTAGTGATCTGCTTCAGCTGTGGATAAAGTGATGAAATCTAACTGAGATTAGTTGGACACTTCATTCATGTTCAAAATCTCACAGTGAGTGACGTAAATGTCAGTGTCGGAATTTGATCATAATTCATTATTTAATCATATCTGTCAGATACACTTTAAGCACTCTGTTTTGCAATCAAAAGACTGAGGATCGTAAATGAGGAGAATATGTCCTTTGTTCCACTGTTGTAAAAGTAGAGGCTCGGTATTAGAAACACATTTAAGTTAAATTCACTTATATTGATTAACTATGAAAAATCTTACATTTGTTTTGTGTTCCTAATGTATATGCAAAATGTTATCCCCAATCTCCACTTCTTCTGACTGAAGTTACCAGCTTCTCTTGGATGTATTACAACCATTATAGAGAACGTTCCATTAATAGACCGGTTTAGATTCAGAGGGCCATGATACAGGAACGGCATTAATTGGTACCTTAGAATCTGCATAATTGTGAATAAAAATGTAGGAGAGTGTTGTGAAGAATGTAGATGATCTTACATTATGGCAAAAGTTCACTGCCTGGAAATGTTTTCAATGTATCATGACCTCACTTTTACATATCAGGGCTTTGCAGTGTGGCATTTAAAAGGAGGCTGCTTTTAAGTCATCCTATTCATGCTGGGACCCCCTTACCTCATCTGCAACACTGTAGGACTGAGTGCTGTCAGAAGCAGACTGATGAGCAGATGAAAGAGCTTAAACCCTTTATACAGCTGCCTGAGCACATTGCCTGTCATCTGTGTGCCACCCTCTCACATGGGCAGTACCTGGCACCTCCAGATTCACGCCCTGCCCCTGCCAACCGCAGGACATGGCCCCCGAGCAGCGGGGATTATGCCGTGAGAGGCTTTAGGAGTGTGTGGGATCGACCAGATGTTTGGGTCGCACCTGCTTCTATCCCCTCTCCCTTTTGAAACACCGCAATATCCATTTTAATTGATGATGCTCATGGCTTTTGCATGAACACTGCTCCACATGCAGCCGTGCCCTGGAAACCGTTTCAAAGTCCCACTCGTGAAAATGGTAGCGGGCAACATAAATTCAGAGGTTAGGCAGACATTTGTCAGATTCAACACTTACATAAATGCCCCCAGGTATATTTTTATGAGACAACTGCAGTTTTTGCTCCACTTGCATAAAAATGTTATATGTATGAAAGTTAGGCCACTTTCTTGCTTTAGTCAATAAGGACATATATAAAAGACAATGGCTCTTTAAAAAATACAGTTACAGATAGTGGCATGCGCTTTTTTGGGGGGCCACCATTCACTCCTCTAAACTTGAAGCCCAAATTTCACAATTTATACACTCTTTTTTTCAAACATCCGATACTAGTTTCATCTTGGGTTAATGATTGGATTTTACTCATGTTAAATAATCCATATCTCTACAGTCCATGTGCATGCTCATGTTTTTCTAAACTTTAGTGTAGTACAGTTAAAACACAACTCTTTCATGGGCTGTCCATGTAGGTAAAAGCCTGTTATAGCACCCACTTTCTGTCCTTTAAATTAATTAATTAAATTAATTAAATTCACTGTAATCCACATTTGCCAACCCCTGAACATTCTAAAAGAAAGCAGAGTAGCTGAATATGAGTTTTCCAGGAGTTCACTTCCCACATTTCAGAATAAAGACAAACAAACAAAATGACTAAACAATAAACTATTCACAGCCACCATTGAAGCTAATACAAGATGGAGTGTTTTATTATCGAAAAAAGAGCTGTGACCTTAAACACAAAATAAGCTGCTTCCCATAACTCAATTATTATCAAAAAAAGTAAAAAAGAGTTAGAAAGATAATAGAACGATAATCCTGGATTTGTTTAGTAAATTAGTTTAATCCACTTTGAATTCTCTGTCCCCAGACCTTTTTAGTCCAGACAGAAGGATAATTGATATCATAATTTTTTTGTCACCCCTTGACACAACTCATCCCATAATTGCACTTCTGTAGAATGAAATTGGCTTCTATTATTTTTCTGTGTTTAAGTTCCTTTGGTTGGAAAATACAGTTTTACTCAGTTTACCTAAGAGAATGCAACCATTCTCCCGTTTGCCTTTTGTTGGAGGTAAATCGTCTGAAAATCGACATGGTCAATTTGTTGCATTTTAGTCAAGCTGTCTCATGTATGTAAGATATCTAAAAAAAAATTGTCAATTTTACTTTTTTTTTTTACATTCTTTTTTTCTCAGAGGGAATGCTGTTTTAGTGGTAGATTTATATAAAAAAACATTTTTAGAATAAAATACAACAAAAAAATGGATACATTATGATTTTACTTGTGCCAACAACCTGTTCTAAAATTGAAAAAGAGAAACATGCTGTAAAAGAATAAGATTGGTTTTCATGTTAGCATTCTTTCAAGACCTTTAAAAAGATATGCAGATTGATTATAGAGACCAGAGTTTGTAGTTACACAAAATATGGTTAAATAAACTATTGTTGTTTTTCTGTATTGTTTGGTTCTTGCTTTCATTCTGTGGCACAAGAGCATGATAGATATTCTAACAGTATTGAAAGTCGCATGTCTTAATCTAAAAATCTAGTACATTTGTACCATGTTTTCCACTCCATTCACACAATTTATTATATAGCTGAATTATCTGTAATGCCAATATTCATCAAAATTATAACTTTTCTAGACATGTAATTTGGTCATTTACATTTCTAGTGACTTATTAAAATAAATATTATAATATAGCAGCGATGAACGGGCCTTATATCTGCTGTATGGTGATGAATAGCACATAGGAACATGAGTTATGTTGGCCGATATCCAGTTCACAAGACTCATGCTAAAACTAGTGCTGGCCAACGTGTTCTAGTCACATTTTTAACATGTAAAGTAAAAATAGTAGAAGAAAAACGTTCTCGGAGGCGCCTGAGCTGCTTCTGATGAGGCTTCCTTTGGTCCGTAAGCATCTTCTGATGGACAGACAGTAAGAACAGGAAAACCAATTACTACTAATACCAAGATTAAAATACAGCGAAAATGAATGCGGTTAACATTTTGTATTTTTAATGGTTTGCCTTGACATGGGGTTAGTTGCAATTATATTGGAGTCTGGATCCTTGTAAGGGCCTATACCAGTACAACAATGGACTAGAAATCTCCTCTATTGTTGAATCCTGCCGCTAACGTAGGGCTGTTTTGAACAGCAGGAACCGGAGGGAACACGCACTGTTCTCCTCAAACAGATATTACAGAGTAGGAATGTTCAGCTCTCCAAACAAACGTTCGACAATGACATTCGTATTTGCTGAGATGATGTCTGCTCATTTTTGTCATCCAAACACATGCAGACTAAAGCATACATTCTTAACTTTGAGGAAACATTCCCATACAATGAATAATTCTAACCAGCTTGCTCTTGTAAGCGCATTACAGGTTTGTTTTTATTACAGTTGCCCATTTAAAAAAATGACCAGGGCTTCATCCACTGGCTTTTGACTAACACGCCATTAAGCTCCTCGTTTCCTTATTTATTCTGCTCCCGAGGCTCAAATAAATTAATGAGTGCTTAATTCCAGCGCAGTGTTCAGCATGCTAGTGTTTGAATAATGTGTATAATATTTTAATTCATGACAGCAAATTGAGTAGAAAGGATGTGTGACAATAAGTAAAAAGGCAGCAGCCATCATTGCATTTAGGTTCAACTAAACATTTCAGAAATGAAAAGCAATGCCTGTATTTGAGATGTTTTCAAAACCATCTCAAATAATGAAGCAATAAGTATGATTCAGATATGAAATACTACCGTAAATCTAAAGGACAAGTCAAATTTCTCTAACACAGTGGAATAACAATAAGGAATACCTCAAAATTGTAAATTTGCTTTAAAGTAAATGAAATTCAGAAGCATAATCTAGATGTCTACAGGATATCATCATGCAATCAACATGGACCTAACCATCAGAAAGCAATGGCAACTTCCCTGTTCTGTGAACATACATTTCATATATACATATGTATATATATACTAGAAAAACGATATGTGCCAGAAATGCTTCCGCTCATGCGTCCCACCAAAATGTTTTTTTTTACAAAAAAAAAAGATAAAATATAAAGCATGTGAGATTTCAGATTAAATACGTTATTGAAAAGTGCCATGTGGCCCTGAGATTACTTTAATTTTAAGATAATTGTCAAAGGGTACTTCAAGGCGTACTTCATTAAACCCCACATTATTACGTTCAAGGGCAACAGATTTAATTAAAATCTAATTATTCAGTAGTATTGGTAGAACTAGCAAAATCAGTAGTATATGGTTGCCGTTTGTGCACATTATAACAGCATAGCGTGCAAGGTTTGGGTCCACATCTTAGTAGCCTTACACGTTGCATCAAGGGCAGGCAATTGATATGTCTGACAGCAGATTCTGTCCTACAACCAGGAGACGTCTCTTGGAGGATACCAGTGAGCAGAGGCACAGTGCACCCACTGTCATCCCCTCCTCCCCCCACCTCCCTCCCTCCCTCCCCCGCTCTCCTGGAGTGCTGCAGTATCAAAAAAAGGTCGGTCTCCATCGCAGAGCTTCCTCTCCCTATAAGGAGAGTTACTTCCAGGAGCTGTGTTCACCGTGTTCAAGCTTACCAGCAATGCAGTAAAGCAACCCACACTGCTGCACACTGTAAATGCACCAGCAGCCGCATATGTATGCGCGGTCATTCGGTCATCTTTCTCCCTCGCTCTTCATCTTATGTGTCCTCACATGCCAACAGATACACACAACAACGTGGTAATGGCCCGGCTTTGTTCTGTGTGGGCGACGGAGACGGCGTGGGCTGCTGCAGTGCTCCGAGTCTGTGTTCCCGTGGAAACTGTGATAGTAGGATGCACTGATTGACCCTGTTTGGAATGCCAAGAGTTAATCAGGCACAAAACACTATTGCTTTAAAAAAAACGGCATCATTAAACTCACTCCAACTACTTAGTTTAGATATTGTTATTAGTTGATCAAATCAACATTTGATTCATTGCCACTTTCAGGGAATATTAGGACAGTAACAAATCCTTCAGAAGGGTCAATATATTATAATAAAAATTAGATTAGATAATTAGAAAAGAAAATACAGTCCTTGGAGTTGGACCAAAATATATTTTACTGTTAATTCTAAAGTGTAAAGACATGTCTGTTCAAAAGTAATTGTTAGAAACTGCTTAGAAACAGATTATGATGCACTCAGGACAGCTGGCAGGCTGTTCGGTAAATAACATTGACACCAAATCACTGCCACACAACGTCTCTCAGGCAGGGAACAGCAGCAGAGTTCAAAAGCCGGACTGTTAACAGATATGGTGCCACTTCATGCTGCCCTTTCTACCACAAACACCTGGCAGCTTGTTTCATTATTCTATAAAAGGTGTATTCCTCCACCTGTTTCCCTATCACAGGCTCCTACCTTAAACGTTTTTTAATTTTATATTAAGGAGAACAATATTGGAAAATTGAAAACTGCAGTCCAGTGTAAAGAACGTGTAGCATAAAGCTGCGCTTGCTGTGAGAGTGAAATGCTCAACTTATGTGCCCGATGAAAAATGAAATAATGGTTGTGCTTTGGCACCCAGTGAAGTCACGGGTGTACTTTGTGGTACTGTGCACTTGGTCGATATTGAATCATACCGATGTTTTGGGGATGTATTGCTGGTATCTTACAGGAAGCAAATCTGCCGGTGACGAAGGCATGAGGTCATTCAGAGTCTGCCGGGAGGGGCAAATAGTAGTAACATTACTAAAATTCCGATGACGAAATGATGTTGGCTCTTACGTGCACATCGCGGCTCATCGGACAGAGTTTGCTTCAAGGTTCCAAACTTTGTTTCCAAATGTTGTTGACGGATGTTTCTTTCTAAATTGCAGCTACAGCAACAATTTGTATATTTCCTACGTGCAGCTCCTATGTGACATTCACAAGTTGATGTGATCAATGCAGTAAAGCACTTGGTGGCATGGAAATGAACAGCATGTCATCGGTATTGCATTGAAAATCAATACCGTGGTCCAAGGGAGGGAGCTATATTACACTCGTGTTACTAATCAGGTAATTGAGAGTAGAGAGGATGCGCCTCAGTTCGAACCCTGTCTGCTCCATGTCCCATGTCCAAGTGTCCCTGAGCCAGACACGCAACCCCTAACTGCCCCCTGGGCGCCTTTACGGCTGCAGAATACTCAAAATACAATAAAAATGTCTAAAAACATTGGGTTACAATCGCAATATAAGTCGCTTTGGATGAAAGTATCAGCTAAATGACATGTGATTATATATTTGCTGGTGGTATCTTTGTTCTTTCACATAAATCTCAGGGTAACTGTGAATAATGTTAAAAATGAAAGAGACTCACGCCTTCGTACTACAAGAAGATCTCTAGCCTGCTTGAACCATTTCTGATCATGCACATTCAAATTGTAACTTAAATGGGTAATTAATGGAAATAATTTATTATTGTTTGTCACAGGTTGGAGACAAATGTGGGTCGGCCCTCTTTCGGTTCACAAGTTGGTGCTGATGCAGCTGAAGCTGTTTGGCAAATTCCAAAAAGTGCCAGAAGAAGGTTGACAGTGTGCCAGAAGAAAATGTAGTACTGTTCAATGCATGCCATGTCGTTTGCCAAAAATACCAGGATATAGTTTCAATTTGCAGAATCCAAGCCAGCATGCTCTTCTGGCTACTCAGGCCCATATTCAATAGTGTTACAAAAAGATGCAATGTTATGAGGGAATGATATGTGCCAATTAAATGCATACTGCATGCAAAAAACCCAAATTCTTTGTAATATCAGCTGCACTATGCACTCAAAGAAAAAACAATTCAATTACAGTATCAATAAATTCCCACAAACACACTTGGCATGGACTGCCAGTGAGACAAAACTACATATCAGTGTTCTCTCTCACTATCACGGAACATTCCCGAATTGTACAAATTAGGCATCACATGAATTAACCTGAGTCAGCACACAGAGGATTGGCTGGAGCAATTAAGCTACTACATTTGTGCAGAAAATCATCCAATTCATTTGTAATGCAGATTCTAAATGTCGTTGCACCTTTTTTTCCTAATGTTTTATTTGATAATTATCTAATTATATTAAGGGCTGTGGAAGGAAAAGATGCCGCATCTAAAACACTTAAATTCTAAATATGACTGATGAATATGAATTAATTAGTCATTGAAATCTTATGAGTAATGAAGACCAAATATAATAATCATACATCATGCCTTTCTTATGCCTTAAACCTTAATGTTTACTGCTCCTAGCATGTTTCCTTCATTTGATGGCGAGGTCTGAGGCAAAGTCCGGTCATGACAAAAATAGGCCACAGAATTTTTCGGTTTAACGCATTGGTGTTCCTTCACACTACTGGACAGCGAATCAACATCAAATGCAATGCCAGGAAAAACAAGATACACCCCATTGTTGTCACTCTTTGGCTTTCTAATTGCAAAGGTGAT